AGGGTGGCAGAGCCACAAGATAAAAAAATCCGAATGGGTGCCTGAATGACTGCAGAGTCCCCCACTGACCTGACCAAGGACTTTTATGTGAACAGGATATAAACTGCTAATACACAGAGCGTTTACAGATTTGGGTATCTGTCACAGCAGCTTGGCTTACCCTAAGTAATAAAGTTTAGCCTATGCATTCCATGCGTAAAACGCACCTCTGCACAAAACCTACATCAGATGCACAAACCTTAGTCTCCGCTTCTCGGAGATGTTCAGTGCATACTTTCGAATGGACTGGCTGTTGAGGTTTTCAGCGATCCCTCCCTCCAGCTGGGAGCTGTAAGAGTCTGTTGGCTTCAGCAAAGTGCCACTTTGCTTGTCTCGGGAAACGATGTTTGTCCTCTTGCGTGCAATGGACCGGTAGCTTGGCAATTCTTGGAGGAAATTCACAGGTGGAGGAGAAAAGCAACTGGAGGCTAAGGACAGGCTCTCTGCGTAAGTAAAAGGAAAATCATCACTCACCCCGGTGAGCTCGGGAGCCAACAAACAAAACCTTAGGAGACTTGGACCTCAGAGACATAACCACATCTTGCAGAGTCAGTAGCCTGGGCTACTGACAAAAGCATCTGTATCTTAATTACCAGGATGATGCTCAGGATAAGGAAATCATTTGCAAATGGGTTCCCTTTCCACAGATGTGTCTGCAAATATGCTTTAAATTGCATGGTATCTGAAAGCTAGTGTTTGGCTGCAGTCACTAGCTAAACGTGTGACCTTAGGCACTTATCTAAACTCTGGTCTTCATTCGTCAGATGGGGCTAGTAATACTTGCCCCAACTATCTTCACATAGTGTAGGGTAAGACGACGTATGATATAAAACTCTGAAGGGCATAAAGTGCTATGCAAACGTATCATGATGACCACGACGTTTATGGAGCATTTCCTATGCACCGGGTCCTGCGCGACGAGCTTCACACGCACTCACGGGATGAGGACTGGCCCTCTGATCTACTTGGACCACCAGAATGCCGCGGAAGTGATGCGGTCCCAATTCTAAGCCTGCGGGTTTCTGCTGCTCCCTGGACCCCAGCTGTTGCCACGTGAACGAGCCTGAGCTAACCTGCTGGAGGACGAGACGCTCCGGCCCAGCAGACGTGACACGTGGCAGAGCAAAACACCTCCTCCATGCTCTCCTGATTTCCTGATGCACAGAATCAGCAGAAACAATAAAATGGCTTTAGCCATCACATTTGGAGTAGTCTGTTAAGCAATGAGAGGTGACCGGGACAGAGAATGGAAAAGCAGAGGTCAGGGAGGTGGCTGGGGCCAGACCGAGTCAGACTTGGTGGGCTGTGCTATGACCCTTGGATGTGGCAGATGGGAGGCCACTGAGGGCTCTGGGCCAAGCACGTCATGATCTGACCAAGTTTTAGAGGGTCACTGTAGAGGCTGCGAGGCCAAGGACGGGACCCACCACAGGGGCCCACTTTTGGGCATTAAGGGTAATCATACAGTTAGCAGTACTCAGCCCCGTGCCTAGCACACAGTGGGCTCCATAAATGCACACACAGCTAACAGGACAAGCAGGGGCAGAGGGAGCGTGGGGAGGAGAGAAGTGGCCAAGGCCTGGCTCGGGGTTGGAGCGCCTCTCTGACGGGCACAAGCAGACACGACGGAACAGCAGTCCCACTGCGGATGACACACAGCCACGTGTCTGGAACCCTGCCAGGTGCCAAGTGCAAGCATGCCAGTCTCGCTCGACCTTCCGCTGCCCTGCCACAGCACACCCCGAGGATATGACACATTTCCAATTAGTAACGGCAGCTCCCTGAGCAAATATGGGGGGTGAAGCGGGCAGAAGCCGGGAGGCTTGAGGGTCCAAGCCCTGGCTGGAGGCCACTCCTCCCTCTGGACAGCAACAAAGAGCTGTTATTAACCGCGAACAAAGGTCTTTGAATCTGGAATGGTAGTGACCTATATTGAATATTCAGCAGTTGTGGGGTCAGGGATGGAGCCTGGGCTAGCTTGTCACCCACTAGCAAGGCCACCCCAGGCAAGATGATGACTATCTCTGAGTCACACGTTTCTCATCTCTGGCACTGGAGATGTGACACCATGGACCTCACTGGTGTGATCGTGAGGGCGGAGTTACAGGCCACATAACTAATACTGGCTAGGATTTACTGAACGCTTACCCCGTATCATGCTATTCGAGGTACTCAGAATGCATCACCACTCTTAATACTCTGAACTACTCTTTGACTAGAATTATCCCGTTTTATAGATGAAGAAACTGAGGCTCAGAGAGGTTGAGTGCCTTGCCTACTCACACAGCCAGGAAGTGTTGGAACTAGGAACCTATCACAGGGTTGTCAAACGCCCAAGCTGTGGTCTTTGCCATGAAACAATCGGTAGGCCATGGATTCAGAAGTGTTTCATAAACACCAAAATGCATACCGATTAATGACCTGATTGCGCTTACACGCTCCACAGGAAAGCTACGTCCTATTCACACTGCATAACAACAGTCCCTGGTGGAAAACTATATTTTCAAAATGACCGTCACCGCAGAGGAATGGTTTTTCCTTCTCAGACATTCTAGGGAAGGGCTCCATCTTCAAATGAAAAGAAAATCGCCCCCTACCTTTGAACACAGGCGTCATTACTTTTACAACTAAGATCAGCCTCCTCTTGCTTTCGCGGAGGACCACACACTTTCCAAAGCCTGACAGCACGTGGTTTCTCACCCCAGCAGCCAGGGCAGACAGCGAAGGCTTCGCAGCCCCGGCTTTTCATCAGGGACCCTGAGTCCCAGAGAGATGGCGGCTTGCCCAAGCTTCGATGTCAAGACAGACTCCTGGTTCCACCGCTCCTTAGAAAGGCAGGTCACGGCATCTCGCTGAGCCTCGGTTTTCTCATCCTCGGAGAATGAGAACGTCTCCTTACAGTTAGTGTCGGATGTTCTCTTGAGCTGGCTGGTCCAGCTGAAAGAGTCGTCGGCATGGCAACTTCACTCCTGTGGTCAGCGTATGGGCTGTTGGTTGACCATTTGCACAGGAGGTAGGAACATATTTCGGATATCGGGGTGCCTCCATCTAGGAATCCCTAGAATCTGTTGGCCGTTGGAGCCAGATTCCAGCAAATAGATTATTCTGGGTGGATAACTGGGTCTTTACAGGAGATGGGGGGGCAGGGGCAGGCATAAGTATTTCTTGCAGTGTCTGATATTCTTACAGGTTACGGACAAAGTCATTCTCTCTGAAGCTTAGAGCAGAGTCTTGCTCCTCGAAGGGCCTCTTTCTGAAGAGTGAATGAATGAATGGGCAGAGGCAGGCACATCTGGAGAGCATCCTTAAGTCTCAACTTTCTCGGCAGCTCTTTCCGCAGCATATCAAATTCTACCAACGGGCACTAACCCTCCCGGGTTGTGGGTTCAGGCCAACTGTGATCTGAACGGTACTAAAACCCCCACCAGCCTCCATCAAGTAAGTGCTTGCCAAGAACGGAGCCCAACCGTATTTGGTGCTAGGTTCACTTCAGGGTTTTTCTTCCCACTCACAGAACCTTGGAAACTCTGGGTAAGAAGGGACCTTCTGGGTCATCCAGTCCTGGCCTCTTGCCAGCTGCTGTGGGAATTAATTTAGTTGCAATGGAGTCCCTTTCTGCATGGGACTGCGGGCCGGGGCTGGGACTCTGGAGACAATGAGGGTTTGCAGACTCGCCTTGATGAGCTGCCACTCACTTCTTCAAGCAGCATATTTCCTCTAAGTGCCCATCCGTGTTATTATCCCAACCTCCTCCCTAACTGTTTACTTGTGTGTTGTCTCTGACTCTCTCCCTCCCCCATTAGACTATAACCTCCATAAGGGCAGGGACCCCATCTCTCTCCTTCACCAATGAATGAATGAATGATTCATGGATGAATGAATGAATCATGAATGAATGGATTTGGTGCTGGAATTACAGGCAATACTGGATCACCCACCGGACAGACCAAAGTATGCGCTTAGCACGCCAGCAAAGCAGCGGCACTAAAAAATGAGAAAAAGATTTAAGGATGATATATTTTTTTCACAATTGAAAAAAATCTTAAAGGAGGAAGAAAAAGCTGGCAAAAAAATATTGAGATGTTGACCAGATATTACATTCTTCCTATTTTGGGTACTTTACGCAAACCAGCCCAATTAGGAACAGGCTTCGCTATTATCTCAAGAAATGATCAAATGATATGTGCACACCCAATTTGATATTACTAATAAGGCATCGTTATTAGTAATTAGTAGATTTCAGAACTTTTTGGACTTCCTTCTACTCATCTCCTATGGTTTGACACAGTTTTTATTGTGCCAGCCGGAGACAGGGCACCTGAGTCATCTGTGCTCACAGCTACCACAGTCTTACCCAGGGGCCCACAGTCCAGGGAATCCAGCTGAAGCTGCCACATCTCCACCAAGTGCTCAAGAACCTCCGAGGCCAGGGATTCATCACGGCCCTACCTCTGGAAAGGCCACCCACCCATCCACTCATTCATTCATTCATTCATTCGCTCACATACTTGAAAACTTTACTGAGCAACTGCTATGTGCCACACACTCTTCTAGAAATGGAAGACAGCCCTGAATACGACATACAAATTACCCTACCTTACTGAGACTTACATTCTGGCTAAGGAGACAGAGAGTAAATATGCAAGAACAATATATTCCAGATAGTGGTAAGATGAGGCTGGGATGGGTTTGTACGAAGCTTAGAAAAAGGGAGAGAAGGAACCACATAGCTAGTTATGAAAAAAGCAAGTGCAAGGGCCCTGAGGCAGGACCATTGGAAGAACAGGAAGGCGGCCAATGTGGCTGGAGCGGAGTCAGCGGGGAGAGGAGTATCAGGGTAGAAAGTCAAGGCCACCGGGGCCTGTGGGCCATGGTGAGGCGATGGCTTTTACTTGGATAAGGTAGGAACCATGAGGGTTTTTAAGCAGAGGAATGACATGATCCGACCCAGATTTAACAGGATCTCTCTGGCTAGCATTGTGGCTATTTCTGTCCTTGAGCTGCACAGGTTGGCACAGCGATGTCCCACGCCAGGGCATCACGCGTCAGGCTGCAATGTCCTGCCATGGTGTAAATGTTCTACATCTGTACCTTCCAATACGGTAACCACTAGCCACGTGCGGCCACTGAGCAACTGAAATGCGGCCGTTGACACCGAGGGAAGGAATTTCAACAGATTTTATTAAATGTACATTTCCACAGCCACATGTGGCTAGTGGCTACTGTACTGGACAGTATGCAGGGGTCTCATTCACAGAAGCCCAGAGGGGGAGGAGCCAGGGGCCTTGGGAGCCACCTCCGTCCATGCAGGGGTCTCATTCACAGAAGCCCAGAGCCTAGTCTGAGATGGGGAGGAGCCAGGGGCCTTGGGAGCCACCTCCGTCTGCCAGACTTCAGAACTGCAGGGCTGAGAGGACTTGCGTGAATCATGGCACCT